GGGCAAGTTTTATTGGAATTACAGAGTATTTCTTCACTGAAAGAAGAGCAAAACACTGCTCTGGAGGCTTTTCTCAGAGGAAAAGACGTTTTTGCTCTTCTCCCGACTGGTTTCGGCAAGAGTTTGATCTATCAATTGGCTCCTCTTCGTTGTCGCTCTGTTAGTACGTCATATGCTTCGTTGATCTGATTGGTTTATTTGGCCCGTCTATGCCCAACATAGGCCAATCAGCTAACCAGTATTTTCACCCCTTCCCCAAATTACTTCAATGGAAGGTTTCCAGATGGATATGCGGAGCAAATCCATCTGGCGGAGTCAGGTTACTACCATCCATATTTACTTCCATAAACACAGAGAAAGCTTGTTTGTGACATCATTGTGTCCCCTACTGCACATTAGGGGTGTAAATAATAATTGTTTTGTATCGATGCATCGATCCAACAGCCGACGATCCGATGCATCGATACGTCCGCAAGAGAATCGAATCATGTTTGTTTTTCCTCCGGTCTATTTTTATCCATTTGCTCCTGGACGTAATTCTCCCTCCCGCGCTGCGGTGGCGCTAAAACTTTTTTGCCCTCCTACCTCGCTTCCTGGTTATACTCTTACAGCAGTGTGTTGCAGTGAGCTTGACACAGACATTTTTGATTTAAGCTCAATATTGAAGCGTGGTCTGCGCTACACGCTGTGGGTCTAGATACGGCCGAGGCGGCGAGGAAGTGGGGGAGAGTTTAGTCCGACGACGGAGGGACATGAGGGCCTAAAAGAGCGGAGATCCAGGTGGAAAAAGGGTCCCAGCGTTCTCGCGCACCTCGCTCTTCTAGCGGGTCAAACTTCACGAGTTGTTTTCCGCAATTTCGGTCATAAAAACGAAACAACAACAATTTGGGAGAGGTGCAGCGGAGCGTCTGCGGAGGAGGCGGAGTCTGGAGCCGAGGTATTGCATTGCACTCATTGCACTGATTTTCTGCAGTATTTTTTGAAGCAACTTTTCTACTTCTGTTATTTGCTGTTGTTTAAAAAAAAACGCATAATGATATTACAGCTTTCATTTTTTAATTTCAAAATTTGAAACATTGTCTTGCCTGTAAGGTGTAATTATATAATAATTGATTCAAAAATAATCGAATCGTTGGGTCAGGAAATCGAAAGTGAATCGAATCGCCATGATGGATGTGACTTACACCCTTACTGCGCATGCAAGATACTTAGTTTGTATGAATGCAGTTTACACAGGAGATCATATACAGGTGGCTTATATGTGGAAATGAATGCAAAACAAAAAAATCGGATTATACAAATAAATCTGAATTGAGCATCAAGGCCTGCAGTGTGAACGTAGCTTTAGTCGGGTCTTCCGCCTTTCAGATATTTTTTAAGGGCTTTTGGGAAGTTTATTTACTTATTTCTCATAGTAGAACATTTTACGTCTACCTCCAAGAATATATATATATGTTTAAAGAAATGTTAGACCTTGAGAATATATTAAAAAAATTAAAATATTCCAAAGACTACAAGAAATCATTTTTTAAATTACAATTAAAACCTGAATGTAGCAGATATTGGCGATGTACAGAGGAAAAATTGCAAGTTTTTCCATTATAATGTGGAGTTTTTTGTTTTTATGAATGGACGAGCATCGCGTTCTCCACTAAAACAGGAGAAAGAAGCAGAAAAGCACATTTTTAGCCAACAAGAATAAATTCTCCACTGCAGCCCCGCGTCTCGCACAGCCATGAGGAGACTAATGAATGCAGCAGCAGCAGGAGGAGCGCGGTCTAATTCCAATGAGAGTAGTAAAAACAGATGCTATCAGAGGGAGACAAAGAGGATTAAAGAGAACGTGTCATTTTCTTAGGTGCGCTGACAGTTTGAGGCCAGCAGCAGCCAGAGCAGAAGCGCGAGCACAGCAGCAGCTGTTTGCGGGCACATCGGTACACAGATACAGTCAATCCTTCGGTCCTCATTAGCTTCCGCTGGTTTTGGAGTTTTTTTGTCGAGTCATGGTTTGCTGCCCAGGCTGATGGCAGATATCAGGAGCTCATCTTCAAGCTTCTGGAAGCTTGGCTTTAAGGGGAGAAACTAACTACATCCAATGGATGAAAGCACAACGCATCAGATCCTGCAGCAACAATAGACAATGCTGGCAAAGTCGACAGCCAGACCAACGGTGCAAGCATGGATGCTAGGTAGGTATGATGATGTTTCTCAGCTCAGAAAGGCGGCCTTGCATAACTGTCACATTTAAATTGTTTTTACAGATGAATAAAACCCCAAATATTTACATGTATGATGCAATATAAGGAGACTAGGAGTTTCTTTTTTTTTTTATGAAGTTTGCCGGTTTGTTGGGCATCAGAGCTACTGCTATTAAAATTTCTCCCGACCTCCTATAAGGGTTAACATAACCCATAAACAAAAAGCTTAAAAACACTTTTGAAAATTTAATGTCAACCATCTATAGCAACAAATAACAGCAAAGATTTCTAAAGTAGGTCCTTTTTTGGCAGAGTGTGAGCTATTACTATTGTTTAAGGAATTTCCATGCTTAGAAATTAAAAAGAATTAAGTTAGATTTTTTTGTTTAAACAAAAAACCACAGAATACTTCAGAGATCTTATCAAAGCAAATTCGCTGAAAACAAAGAAGCAGAGAGGAAAGAAGAAACCAAGATGGCAATAGACATCAGGGTCGACACAAAATACAAAAAGCAGCAGCTTGAGACGAAGCAGCTGCTGCAGTAAAACAAAAGGAGTTCTCGAAGGCGAAGCTGTGAAAATTTCCGACCTTCAGCTGTAAAGCAAACCCCAAAACAACGGTAGATCTAATGGTTCCACATTTAGAGGAGGAAAGGTTATGTTAGGTTTATTCTTTATGAATAAAGTGCATTGTTAATCTGTTAGCCAGATTAGACAGAGTAGAAGGCCTTCCTTTACATGGTGGATGTCACTGTGTGTACGGAGGTCATCTAATCAGGACGGCCTTCGTGTCTTTAAAAATACACAGGATATGGGAACATCTTGGAGCCGGACTGATAGAGGAGAGCTATCTGGCAAGATGCATGAAGGTCAGGGCATGGATGGCGTGTCAGTTTCTGATACGGACAGCTAAGCATCCACTTGATGCTTCTTATACCCCATGGACTCATGAGGTATAAGAAAGAGCAGATGACCTTGTTCGGGGGTCAATCTTTGCCGGACGCTCGCTGACGTTGTGCCAACTCCAAGCAATTTGTCCTGTAATGACCCGACCTGGAATAAAATGACTGCTCGGATGTTTAAATTTGTGCCCCTGCTTGAGAGTGACTCGCTCTCTGGTATAGGCTAACGCGCTAAAAGCAACTCCGGGTCAGCACTCACCTCTTCTAATTTAACGCTAAGAGGAAAACTGCTAAGATCTCTACGGCTTCAGGAAACCTTGACGCTGGCCTCTCCACCTTCATCACTCATACCCGGTGTCGGACCCTATGAAGAAGACGGCTGATTCCTGACGGCTGAAGGTTCCCGAAGGTTTATAACTGGTAGTAGACGTTTGATACATCATTGCGATTTGTATACAAAAGCTGATTGGCCTCCTTTAAGTGTTCGGAGAAACAATCATTTGATGATCCTAATATATAAATCTCTCCTTCGTCTAACACCAACGACTTAAGCTCTCTTTTCGAACTCATAAAGGAAAGAAAGCATTCAGTGTGTTGGTATGGAAGCGAATCGTTAACATATTTCAAAATAAAAAGCATTTCCAGAAATGTTTGTTCATTTTAAGAACGTGGCTGCATTGTTTGACTCATAAATGAAATTAGTAATCAGTCATCCTATTTGCATTTGCTTCTTTAAGAATGCACGTTTTATGCCATAATCAAAGAGAAAACACAGCGGACATTGCTTTTTCGTTTTTGCATGGTCTGCCAGCAAAGTACTGTCCATAACTCGAAAACTAAAAAGCATTCTGAGCGGCGGGCGCAGCAGAGTGACCGGACTACCCATCTTGTTCGGTAGGGGGCGCTGTGCACGTCTGCATTGCGTTGCATTGTATGCGTGCCGGCGGGAAACTCAGGAGCAGTCGGCGTTGCCACAGGTCCGTTAGAAGCAGGCACTTGCTTTAAAGCAACAGCGGCCTCCCTCAGTAGCTCTGCCACTGTTTTGGTCATTGTGGTCGTTCAGTATGTCCTGATAGTCAGACCCGGCAACTCAACCAGTGTCCCACCGGCACGCTTACAATGCAACGCAATGCAGACGTGCACAGCGCCCCCTACCGAACAAGATGGGTAGTCCGGCGGTAACTCTGCTGCTCCCGCCGCTCAGAATGCTTTTTCGTTTTCGAGTTATGGACAGTACTTTGCAGGCAGACCACGAAAACGAAAAAAAACAATGTCCGCTGTGTTTTCTCTTTGATTATGGCATAAAATGTGCAGTCTTAAAGAAGAAAATGCAAATAGGATGATTGATTACTAATTTCATTTATGAATCAAATAATGCAGCCACATTCTTAAAAGGAAAAAGCATTTCTGGAAATGCTTTTTCATTTGAAATATGGTAACGATTCGCTTCCATATGTTGGCTCCTACAGTGTGGAATCAGCTCCAGTTTGAGCTCAAGATGTCAGACACTATTTCATTGTACTTAATTTCAAGCGGTTCTTAAAGATAGACAACAAGCTTATATTAAACAGTGTCACTGCTTTTAAATTTTTATTGTTTTATATTTTGTGCATATGTATTAATAGATTTTTTTTGTAACCAGGTTGCAGTGTATTGCAGATCTCTGCCCAGGTCCCCCTTGATAATGAGATCCAGATCTCAATGGGGTTTACCTGGTTAAATAAAGGAAAAAATAAAAACTCTTACTTTTTTACTCCTGTTTTATAGTCTTTTTTTTATATGTTTTACCCAATCTGAGTTAATAGTAGTAAATAACTTGCTCCCAGGAAAAGAACCGGAAGGGAAGCTCTGAGGCGCAGCCGACTTCAGGGGGAAACTGTCTTCCATATTTAACAGTTACCTTGCATTTCATCATGTCGCTGACCCTCTGCCTCATGGACTGACCGGCTTTGGGTCTAACGAGGATGTAGAGGGCTTTAACGTCAGGACAGGACCTCAGCAGCTTCTCCACCAGCACCTTCCCCATGAAGCCCGTGGCTCCAGTGATCAAGACACTCTTGCCTGCGTAGTACTCCGGTACGGACGCCATCCTGTCGCCGCTCCGTGCTTCTGACGTCTGCTCTTCCTCTTCTAGCCTGTCAAGGTCTGGGCCTTCTGTCAAGTCCTGCAGAGGTGGAACGACAATATACAGTTAAAAACCTTTAAACAATTTGAGAAGTCATCTCGATCTCTTCCTTATCACCCTGGATTCAAGTACTTGTGATGCAGGTTCTGGACCTTTAACACATTTTCTAAATCAAACATTTTTCCAACAATCAGATGAACTTTATCTCCCATCTGGTAAAAGGTTTCAAGAACAGGTCAGCAGCAATCATCAAATACGATTTATTTGTGCAAACGCCTCAACTCACAAGGTCTCAGCTCCAGGAGCAGAGTTCATCACAGCAGCCTATTGACTCAGTTATTTTTGCACCATTTGATTTACATAGCTGCACATCTATTAGCGGGAAAGCTTATTTGAGTCATAACAATTTTAGCTTGAATATCAGGCAAATGGGTGACTGACTCACAGTTCCTTTGAAAGTACTAACAAAAACACTGATAAAGTGACCATGTACACTAGGAATTATTACGTCTAAAATACATGTGGAGCGTCTCTACTTATATTGGGGCTTCGACACAAATAAACGGAAGAAAAACCACAGTGTGCTGCTTTAAAAAGGTTGGTAAAACAGATAACTCAAGCAGGGATCGATCCGATTCAAAGCCGTAGACACTTTATTTTAAGTAGGAAAGTACAAATACTTCATTAATTTACTTAGGTAGAAATGTTTGCCATCTATACTTTACTGGACTGATTATGTTTTTAGGCAAGTTTTTACTTTCTACTCATCAAATTTTCAAAAGACTTGTTTTTTAATTAAGCTGATTCTAGTAATGGCCTATTAGTATAAAAAAAAAAAAAACCCAAAAAAACAAAATAATTAGTTTCATCCAGATAATTTCTTGTTGTTCACCTTACACAAAAATAAATAGTTTTATTTAAATAGTCAAGATAATGTAAAGTTAAAATTGACACTAATACCATTAGTTATAAAACTGAGAAAATAAAGTCTAAGGAAGTTATTATCTAGAATTGCAGAAAAATGTTCCTTTAATAGTGTAACGCAGTAAAGCTTCTGTCCTTTTCACTGCGTTACTTTTATTTTTATACTGTAGTTTAAATAATGGTACTTTTATACTTGTTTAAAAAGCTTAAGTTGATACTCTTAATTCTATAAAACAGTTTTTAAACAGTAAGATTTATACTTCTACTGGAGTAATAAATATTAATACTTTTGCCACCTTTGTTCATTTTTAATAGCAAGAGGCCTAACTACTGCCAGATCTGTAGATTTCTAAAATCTCTGAAAAGAACCTGTTTAACAACATGAAGTATGCTAAAAAACCTTTAAAAAAAAACTCATCATGCTGTGAGCTGAAAGAAACAGATGTGGCTTAAAAGCCACAAGCCACAGTGAGAACCATAACCAGGGGAGTTTAACCACAATAATGGACACAGGAGAGAGGAAAACCCCACAAAGAACATCTAAAGAACTATGGGGCCTCAGCCGCCTCAGTTATGAAATAACTTTAACAATAATTAAGACACTGAGTAAAGACTTAGTCCAGAAGTAAAATATTGTAGCTGCAATTAAAACACACTTGGCTTATGCATCAACTATGATCCTGATGAAAGGATAAACAACAACAAAACTTTTAGAAAAGACTACTGAAATCCACAAAAAAATAAATGCTTTGTCACGCTCTTAAAACTGTTTAAAGTTGTAGGGAAGCGGCTGTTCCAACCGTTGCATTTGCTAATTCTCCCAAGTGGTGCCCAACTTTACACGAGTGAATCAAGTGAATGTGATTGGTCAAATATCAAGGGGGCGGGATTGTTGTGGCGGAAGGTTCGCAAGCATGTTTGGTTGTAGCCGGTTTGTCGGAAGCATCTTGCTAACCAGTTAGCAACTTAGTGCTAGCAGGTTCCCAACCGGAAATTCCATTGGGACCAAGTAGCACTAAATTGGTGACTTGGAAACGACGCTGTCAAGGAACGCTATGGACAGAGGAAACATGCAAGAGGAGGAGAGTTTAGTGTCGGAGGTCGTGGATGAGTCTCCTCCGTCATCCATTTTTTATTTAGAGGAGGAAAGGGGGGACGAAGATGTTGTGGAAGAGGACGCCAGGGCGACAGAAGCTTGGTTTGGTGTAGAAGGCTTCCAGCCGTACATGTTTGAGCCCTTGCCTCGCTACGCTGCCAGTTCTGTTAGCTCTACGCCTGCCGAAGACACAGACGTCCATCCCCGTGAACACTGGGACGCAACTCAATGGGAAAGGAAAGGATTCTGATTTCAACCGTTGCGTATATTAGCTGCGACATTTGAATCAAGATGCTGTGACCTAAAAATGTGATTGACAGATGACCGTTGATATATGATTGGCCGAATTTAGGTGTTCAGGCTGACGTATAAATAACTGGCCTGTAGAAGATAAGGAAAAAAAAAAACAGATTTTAAGAAAGGATTTTTTTATTGAAATTTTCAAAATTTTGGTACAATACAGTTTGATAAAGAGTACGTTTATATACATGTTTAAGCCAGAATGATTTGACATTTAGATATAATTTCACTAAGACTTTAAAGCACCAGTATGATCCTGATGAAAGGATAAACACTTTTAGAGTGAAATAGTCAAAGGAAACCCCCCCCCCTCCCCAAAAAAAAAACGCTTTGTCACGCTCTTAAAACTGTTCATGCTTTAAAATGATTCTGCAAAAAGGAGCCGACCAAAATAACACATAATTAATAACTCAGGTTATTCTTACTTTAAAGCAGGTGAATCATTTTTCAAAGCCCCATTTTCTTTCTGTCAGAGCTTCTGAGGACTGTTTGTCTTTTAGAGCTCCTCGTTTTTTTAGCAAATTCATAATTTTATCACTGCTGGGCTTTGGAAGCAAGAAAAGACCTCATATAAACGAGTATAATTTAATATGGTCCTTGTATAAAATGTAATTTCATAATGACTAGGAAGGAGTGAAGTTTGAGGGCAATCCTTTCTCCGGGTAAATTGTAAAAAAGTTAAAGCTTATCTTTTACAATGTGCCTCCGTGTGTGAATAACATGTAAGAGAACATAGTTATTGCTTATTTTATTAGTTTTTTTTATATGTTTTATGTTCTGACTCAGCACCATGTGTTTGACTTTGTCCTCAATCCTCTCAAGCAGTAACCGACGGCAACAGGAGTCGTCATGCGGCTGCAGCGGGGCTGACTCAGATCGACATCCAGCGATCTGATCAAAGCCCTGCCTCACCATGTGGGCTTGCAGCTCCCGACCGCATGGCCAGTGTTGCTGCTTTATTTATGTGTAACCACGACAACGGAGCACCAATGCATCATAAGAGCCGCCCCCACCCCAATCAGAGTCCTGATGACGGCTTCCGCTCTGGTTTGTGTTGCTTCTTCACCACCTCTCAAAGAAGGAGGGCAGAAGTCAGCCTCATAGAGGAGACGGCTGAAGCCAGACGTTTACATTCCTCAGAAAAAGAGAGGTGCAACCTTTTATTTTTCACACTGTCTGACAATCAGGGCCCAAAAAATAGAGAGTTACATCTAGGTGGGTTCAGCGGCGTGCTCTGCAGAAAATGTTTTTAATCCCATTATTTAAATCCGTCCATTTTCAGAGCCTTATGGAGCAAAAGCAAGTCGTTCCGACTTTAGAATGGGCTAGTCCATATTGCATGTCCCTGTTCCTCTTTCCCTGCCAGACATTTCAGGCATTATAAACTTGATTATTATGTCATCTTTCTTTTGAAGCTTCTATCTACACCACAAAAGACATTTCATTATACCCTATTTTCGCGACTATAATGCGCATATAAACGTCTTTTTTTTCCCCTCAAAATGTGCGGCGCGCCCTATAGTGTGGAGCGCCCTATGTGTGTTATTGCGGACGTTGTTGAGACCACCATGAGAACGTTAAAGGGGGAATGGGCGTGGATTGAGACCAGGTGGTTTTTTCCATGCATCACCGTCGCTGTTAATCTGTGACTCCATGCGTGCCCATCTCACAGCCGATGTGAAAGACATGGTGAAACAAATGAATGCTGTGCTTGCTGTTATTCCGGGAGGTCTGCAAACGAACTTCAACCGCTCGACATCGGTGTGAACCGGCCATTCAAAGTAAGGCTGCGAGCGGCGTGGGAGCGATGGATGACCGACGGAGACCACAGTTTCACGAAAAGTGGAAGGCAGCGCCGGGCAAGTTATGCCACCGTTTGCGGATGGATTGTAGATGCTTGGGCTAACGTGTCTGCTGGCACTGTTGTTCGAGCTTTCGCAAAAGCCGGCATCATTTCCGAGGAGCCGCGCGGCACGGAAAGTGACTCTGACAGCGAAGAAGGGGAAATTAGCATGTCTGATTTAGCGCAGCTGTTTAATTCAGAAACAGAGGATGATGACTTCGATGGGTTTGATTAATACTTTGTAATAAATACATGAATAAAGCACAATCATACTCAGATTTGCTCCCGCTCTATTTTTAAATAAGCAGTAGAGGTATTTAAAGGTAGTAGAGGATATGTACCGGTATATAAAACCCTATAGTCCGGTGCGCCTTATGTGTGTGTTAAATACAGTAATGGCACACATAACTGAGACTGCGCCTTCTAGTACGGTGCGCCTTATGGTAATGAAAATATGGTAATTTAAATGAGTTGATTCATATTTACTTCAGTATTTAAAATCGACACCCAGAACCTATTACACTATTATGTTAATGATTTTGGGGTTCAGAAATTTTAGGACGTCTTAATTAGTGTTGCACTGATGCCATTTTTTAGCCCCGATACCGATTCCATCTGTTTGAAATTGATGTTGGATGTAAAATAATTGCCATCATGGTTTTGTCAAGCTGCTGCCTACCTTTGTGAAGCAGGAAAAAGACTGATAAAAAGTGAATCCTGTAGAACATTTTACCTGGAATGGGTGGCAATAGTTGAATAAACTTTTGGCTCTCAAAATGGTATCAGTGCCCTATTTGTTGGTACTTCCCGATACCGATATCACCATTTTAGTGCAGGATCGGGGCCATGCCTGATACTGGTATCTATGCAACACTA